TGATATCTTTGGATGGTTCTGAGGCATAGTTTTTAGAGAAGAAACTGGAAACCACATGCATGTCCATGGATAAAAAATAAAGGATAAAAGAGTAATTTCTGGTACTTCTAGACTATGGAATATGATATAGTTGATAAACCAAAATACATTGAATCTAAATGATTTATCTTAAAGAGTGTTGATTATAAAAGTTTCAACTCAATTTATTCGGAATGAGCCCATATTCATCAATAATTCTATATGCTTATATATTTGAAAGACCTTGGAGAAAGATGTGGAAGGGCACTCACTAAAATGTTAAAATTGTTTACCTCTAAGACATGAGGAAGAAGGATGGAGACCTCTTTTAGAGGTCCACACCGCTAGGGAATGGATTATTAGCATTTATTTTATATATCTTCAGATTATTTTAATTAAAAAATTAGCTTTGTCATTAAAATTAACAAAAAATTTTAATTTTGGTAGGGTAAATCTTTCCTAACCTGCCCAACAACATCTAATACAATAAACATTCTATAAATATTTGTGAAAGGAGGGACAGGAGGGGAGGAGGAACAAGTTTAAGTATGTTTGGTAGAGATAAAAATATAACCATTATGACCATTAGGCTGCTACATCCTGTGAAGGCCTGTGGCTGTTTTACTGTTTTGTTTTCTTGGCTGAAACTGGGGAAAAGCAAGGCACACTGACCCAGGGAGACACCACACCAGGCTCCGGACCAACTGCGTAGGCGGGACTGGACACGCTTGTATGAATTGGTTTCACGTTGGCCTTTGGATCTCTGATTGCACCTACGTGGATTCTCTTTGGAGGTTATGTTGCTAAAGAAAAAGCCATAGAGGCCGGGCGTGGTGGCTCATGCCTGTAATCCTAGCTCTCTGGGAGGCCGAGGCGGGCAGATTGTTTTAGCTCAGGAGTTCGAAACCAGCCTGAGCAAGAGCGAGACCCCGTCTCTACTAAAACTAGAAAGAAATTAATTGGACAACTAAAAATATATAGAAAAAATTAGCCGGGCATGGTGGCGCATGCCTGTAGTCCCAGCTACTGGGAGGCTGAGGCAGGAGGATCGCTTGAGCCCAGGAGTTTGAGGTTGCTGTGAGCTAGGCTGACGCCACGGTCACTCACTCTAGCCCGGGCAAAAGAGTGAGACTCTGTCTCAAAAAAAAAAAAAAGAAAGAAAAAGCCATAGTATACCCTGGAATTACTGCATTTTTCCAGAAAGCCTTTATCTTTTTTGGAGGACTGGTTTTTAAGTTTGGCTGCACTGAAGACTTATGGCTATGGCAGTGAAAACATCTGATTTTCTATAGCACAGCAGCCCTGCATGGTTTTTTTTGTTTTTTTTTTTAACTGCTCATTCCCAATTTGTTGTAATGTCATTTTCTAAACTTATTTCTGAGTGTAGTCTCAGCTTAAGAGTTATGTAATACTAAAATCATGAGAAGTCCCTATTTAAACAACAACAAATCTATTGTGGTATGCGTTTGATTAACTTATAAAATGTTAAAGGAAAAAAAAAAAAAGAAAGATAACCAGCCAGGCGTGGGGCTCACGCCTGTAATCCTAGGACACTGGGAACTCAAGACCACAGAATCGCTTGAGGTCAGGAATTTGAGACCAGCTTGAGCAAGTGAGACCCCATCTCTACTAAAAACACAAAAAATTAGCCGGGCGTGGTGGTGTGTGCACCTGTAGTCCCAGCTACTCAGGAGGTTGATGCAGGAGGATCGCCTGAGTCCAGGAGTTTGAGGTTGCTGTGAGCTAGTCTGACACCACTGTACTCTAGCCTGGGCAACAGAGCAGAGACTCTGTCTCAAAAAAAAGAAAAAAAAAGATAACCATTAATAGCAATGAAGAAACATTGTAGAACCTCTAAATGAACAGTAGGAGGGAGGGAAAAAGAGATATTTACTCAAACTGGCAAAATAAAATGGGAAAAAGTGAAAAAAGGAAAGTATAATAAATAGTAGACACCAATGGAAGGGATAAGGTCAACAATACAGTTATTCCAATAAATGTAAAAGAGTTGAATTTACCTACCAAAGGAAAACACTTCATATTGGGTGTGAAAACTCAGGTGTTGTTTACCTGTTGAAACAAAGTGAACATATAACAATAAAGATGTCATCAAAATATTTCTGAATATACACAGCAAGATATTTGCAAGATGTATTTGAAAAAAGTTACAAAATTTTAGTGAATGTATTAGTTTCCTATTGCTGTGGTAACAAATAACTCCAATCTTAAGGGGCTTAAAGCAACCCAAATTGATTATCTTATAGTTCTGTAGGTGAGAAGTCTCACTGGGTTAAACTCAAGGCGTCAGCAGAGCTTTGTTCCTTTTTCGATGCCCTAGGGGAGAATCTCCAATGCTTTCTCATTCGGGTGTTGGTATAATTCAGTTCTATAACATTTCCTAGAGGCCTCTCTCCCTCCTTGCACATAGCAGCAATTCTGAATTGCATGAAATTCTTCTTATGCTTTGATTCTCTCCTGTCATTAGATTCAGGATAACCTCATCTTCAGGTCCTTAACCTTAATTACATCTGCAAAATTCTTTTTGCCACATTAAGGTAACGTATTCATAAGTTCCAGGAAATTAGTGACCTAAGGGATATCTTTAGGGGGCCATTAGTCTGTCTATCACAGTGAAGAATATAAACAAACTTGAACAATGAATTTAAAACTTAAGTGTCATTCTTAGGTGGGGAGATTTGCAATTATAAAGATGACATTTCTGCCTAAATTAGCCTACAAATTCAGTGCTAGATATTCTAATGATAATTGAAGTTCAATTTTTCCATCAAGTGAGTGGATAAATGTTCAGAGAAGATCATATTGTTTAGAGAAATAAAGGAACACAATATCCCTTGCAGATTTTAACTCAGGTAGACTGTGTAAGCTCTTGAGACAAATACACCAGCATTCTGCACAAGGGCAAAGTAATGTTTCCCACTGTGTTTCTAATAATCTGTTAACATCCAGGATTTTTCTGACAACCGTTTTTTAGGCACACATTGACTGATACTATGAACTGTCTACAGAGATTCCTATCACTCTTTATTCATAACCAAGAGCTTAAGACTGCATTGCAAGCATAGTTTCACTTTATTTCCCCAACACATCATTTTACACTTGTCCAACGTGAAACTCGTTATTTTCAGTCTACTCACACAGTTTAATGAGAACTTTCAGCAAAAGTTCCTGGTAGATGGGCACTGTATCTTATATTTCTTGAGATATTTTAAGATGTTTGTTTTAAGATAGTTCTTAAGATGTTTTAAAAAAGAAACACTTTTTCAATTAACTACTTCCATTACGATGCGTCCTCACCACCTATGGATGATACTGTGGACAGTGAACAAGTATGGCAGGTCATGTGGGTAAGTGCAGATGTTTAAGGATTTTATTTCCTCTATTTTTGTGCAAGTTTGGGGATGTAAGGTGAAGATGATTGGAGATGAGCGAGTTTGTGTCACCCTCTAAAGAAAAGCGGCTTTTGTAAAAATGTTCTTGCAAAGAAGTGCATTTAATGACTAACTTTCCTTACATTAAGTGGTTAGTTCATTCAATAAAAAGTTAATTAACCCACAATTTTCAAGGCAATTGTCATGCAAGGCAAGGCAATTGTCACCCGAAGCTACTCGTCTGTCAGATCTACTCTTTGTACCCACAGGGGCACTGGGGCTGCGCCTGTCTGCCTGTGCCTCCCCGCCCCCCGCCATCGGAGCCTTCCCGAGCTGTCTCCTACCAGCAGTTTCTCTGAAGACCTGTCAGCAGGTTAAGCCAATCTGGGGCTCCCACTGCCTATATTCTGGTCTCCAGAGTTCAGTGGCCAGAGACCCCGAAACAGGAAGTACATATTGGGGCACAGTGGCCACTGTGAGCCAATTGGCGTCTTGAGCAATCCTCGGCCAGGCCGGAGGTTGCACCACCCACCACAAATAGCGGGGAGGGCAGGTGGGTGGGGCCTGCTGGGAAGGTGAGTGGAGGGGGTTCTCCCCTCCCGCCGTTCTCCCCTCCCGCCTTCCCCATCCCTGAATCCCACCGCTCAGTGCGGGCCATAGCAAGGGTGCTACATAATGTCCACACTGGAACACTTCTGGGTGTGAAAGGGGGGTACTATTAAAAACTACATGGGGCAACAGGTGCAAAAAAATAAAAAACGTTCCAAACACAATATCAAGTGTTTGGAACGTACCCTATTTGTAAATTCGCAGAAATGAAAGTCACCTTTGTTTAATCTCCTACACCAAGCACACCTGTCTCTGGAACAGATATCTCAGACATCATTCTTACCTCCTAAAGGTCAGCTATGCATTTCTTTGCATTTTGTCTCTACCTTAATTCCCTTTACTAGCCAAAACAAAGAAGTAAAAAAACCATTTCTAAGTTAATATTGCATTTTCAGAGATCCTGGGATATCCTGGAGGAGGGCACGGTCCCTTCTCTTCCCCACTAGTCCCGCAGCCTGGCGGGGTCTGGACGCGGTCGTCCCCTCCCGCCGCGGCCGGACACAGGACAGGAGTAAGTGGCAGGAAGGGCCCGGTGAGGCACAGCCCGAGTCCGCGGCTCTCAGGGGAGGGGGGACCTGTAGACATCAGACCGGCAGACAGTCCCGGGTCCGAGCTCCAGCCAGTAACCGCTTGGTACTTATGCCCGCACCCGCCCGTGCAGTCGGTGTAGCGTCGCGCGACGCCGTCTATAAAGTTTTCTGGTAACCGAGTCTGACCCACTCCTCTTTCAGAGCAGGAAAAAACAACCCAGGCCCCAGGACACCCGGATGTGGCAACACTGCCCCTGCCCGCCGAGCCCAGGGCCCTGCCGCTCATGCGCACCCTGGAGGCGTTGACGCGAGGCGCGGGGCGGGGCTCGGGAGGGAGGAAGCAGGGCGGTGGTTGGGCGAGAGGAGAGCCACGCCCACCGCGCCAACGTCTCTGCGCATGCTCCGGGCGTCAGCTTTTAGTATTTTCGACGCGTCTGCGGACGGTGCGCTCAGTTCGCGTCTGGACGTCTAGAGGTGGAGGTTGTGGATCTGCTCTCTGAGAGTAGAAACGAAAAACCTCTCTTCGTCCATCAGCTTTGAGAGGAAGGCGTCTGTTGGGCCTTTCTCTCCGTCTTGAGCGAGGCGTTGACGGCTTGCGGTGAGTTTTCTGGTGACGGGGTCGGTGCCGAAGTTCTCTCAGAAGCGAGTGGCAGGAAAAGCGCCAGGCCCTGCGTGGCGGGAAGGCGGTGTTTCGGGTCGGCTGCGCGGCCGCAGGGCGCTGAGCGAGGTTTCGGGCTCTGGGTTCACTTGCCGGGTCCGCACCGCAGGCGCCGCGGCTCCGCCTCCGGAGGCGCGCGGCCCAGCACCCACTTCCGGGTCCTGACGGGCTTTTTTCTCTCTTTGTTTTTAGCCAGTCTCGGGAAGGAGTTGTTTTTCTGAAGAGCGGGAAAGCTAAAGACGCAGGTGAAGATGTCCAGCTACGTGAACGACATGTGGCCGGGGTCGCCGCAGCATTCCCCTTTGATGTCCGGGTCGGGCGAGTCCAGCTGGCCGTCGTCGCGGTCGAGGAGCCGCTCTTTCGGAAGCTCTCGGTCCTATTCCCGCGTCTCCAGTCGGTCGTCGTCCAGGAGTCGGAACCGGCCCCGGAGAAGGAGCAGGTCCAGGTCCCGTTCCCGAAGGCGCCGCCAGCGGAAGTACAGGCGCTACTCGAGGTCTTACTCGCGGAGCCGGTCGCGGTCCCGTAGCCGCCGGTGCCGAGAGCGGCGCTATGGGCCGTCCAGGGGATGCTACCGGTCTCCTTCGCGGTACTGGTCGCGGAGCCGGTCGCGCTCTCGGGGAAGGTCGTACTACGGAAGCTCCTGCGCGCTCACGCGGGGGCGGCGCCACTACGGCTTTGGGCGCACGGTGTCCCCGCAAGAATACAGGTGGAGGGAGAGACCCAGGACGAGGTCTCGGAGCAGAACTCCTTTCCGCTTAAGTGAAAAAGGTGGGTCTCTTGTTAGCATGCGGACGCATAGTAAACTTCGCCTTCGTCTCCATTTTACGCGTGTGGTGACGGTGTGAGTAGGCCAGGGAAGCAAAGTTGCTGTGTAGTTTTAATATTTTTTTTGGTGGCAGAAATGTGTCTTGGGGGGAAAGGAGGACATCTGCTGGTAGTTAAAACTACAATATGGGCCGGGCGCGGTGGCTCACGCCTGTGATCCTAGCACTCTGGGAGGCCGAGGCGGGTGGATCGCTCAAGGTCAGGAGTTCGAGACCAGCCTGAGCAAGAGCGAGACCCCGTCTCTACTAAAAAATAGAAAGAAATGATCCGGACAACTAAAAATATGTAGAAAAAATTAGCTGGGCATGGTGGCTCATGCCTGTAGTCCCAGCTACTCGGGAGGCTGAGGCAGGAGGATCGCTTGAGCTCAGGAGTTTGAGGTTGCTATGAGCTAGGATGACGCCACGGCACTCACTCTAGCCAGGGCAACAGAGTGAGACTCTGTCTCAAAAAAAAAAAAAAAAGCTACAATATGATCCTCGGCTGATATGTAAGTGTACAACATTCTTTCTCTTGAGGATTAAAGGATTATGGGTGTTAAATGGCTTAGGGTGGAGCAAACCTTTTTTTCTAGTGACTGACTGTTCTTAGTGGAGCCTTTTAAATGTTAATTATGATTTACTTGATTAGGCTTCTAAATTAAGTATTGAATGGCAATAACAGTATCAAAACATGCGTGTTTTTTTTTTTTTTTTTTTTTTTAGCTAACTGTATCGCTGAACAAAATTGTTCAGTATTTCAACACATGACCTGCCATGTGAGTTATATTTAACTCGTGCTAGTTTTGCGCCCGGGCCTCTTGAAGCATATGTAATTCAGGTCTCTTCACTTTGGGAACCTCGTGAACTATTTTTCAAGTTGCTATAACTCAGGCACAGAAAACAATACAAAATAACAAACATGACCTGGCGCAGTGTCTCACGCCTATAATCCTAGCACTCTGGGAGGCAGAGCAGGGAGCATTGCCTGAGATCAGGAGTTCTAGACCAGTCTGAGCAAGAGTGAGGATCAGTCTTTACTGAAAATAGAAAAAAAAAAAATTTCAAAAAAAAAAATAAACTTTTCATTAAATTAGAAAAGATTGTTTTGTTTTTTAAGTTTTTATTCTATTTTCGTAATAAAACACGTGGCCCCAAGGAGAAAAGGTTTTTTTTCTAGTGTGGCAGTCAGTGTGTTAAAACGATTTAATGTTATTCTGGAGAGGGGATCGTGGAGTAGAAAAAAGGATAGTATGTTTGGAAAATATATGTTGAAGAGAAAGCAAAATAATGCTAAGTTAATGTCTTTGGTCAGGAAAAACTGAAAACTAATTGTTGAGGTAATGCAGGAATGCTTGCTTTTCTCAGCAAAAAATGGGGTAGAGAATAAAGTTATGCAGACATCCCTCGGTGTATGTGGGAAATCAGTTCCAGGACCCCTGCAGTCACCAAAATCTCCACACAGGCACACAAAACTAGCAGTCAGCCCTGCAGCATCCTATATTGTGGGGTTTCCCATCCCTCCAGTACTTAAGTGTATTTGTTGATCTGCTTTTGGTTGGGGGGAAAAATCCATGAATAAGCGGACCACTGCAGTTCAAACTTGTGTTTTTCAAGGGTCCACCATACTTTATGTATGAAAATAAAGCAAATGACTTAGACATGTTTGTTTTATTTAAAACAGCAACGTAAAAGCTTATTTTGTGGCTTTGAGTCTTTTTGGGGAAATACTACAGGATTAATGAGTATCTTCTTATCTTTTCCAGATCGAATGGAGCTGTTAGAAATAGCAAAAGCCAATGCAGCAAAAGCTTTAGGAACAACCAACATTGCTTTGCCAGCTAGTCTCGGAACTGTAGCTTTACCTAAAGAAACAAACCATGGAACAGCTGTACCGACTTCTGGTCCTAAATTGAGGGTAAGTATTCTTGGTTTATCTGAACAAAACCTTTAGAAAGCTATTGCCAGAAAGATCCGATTAGCCATTTAATTACCTTAGACTATACTTAGAAAGTCTAGCTATGTTTAATTTGCTAAAAATCAAAAGATCAGATTGACAATACTAGAGAAGGTCACACCCATGAAAATGGAAGATTAATGAACTTGATTTTCAGTTGACGCTGTACTCTCTCATAGTACTGTTAATGTATATTGTAGCTGGTTCTTTGGTGATTTCTATATCAAATTCTATCTCTAGTCTTTACAGAGTGTTGAGCTTTCTTTGCAGCATTATGTTCCCACAGATTCTGTAGTCAGCATACAGTATAGTTTATCTGCTTTATTTCTGTCTTATAGAAATCATGAATGTGGTCTCCAGACATTGATGAAGAAAATCTGTTGGTAATTGATATATGGGCTAAAGCATTTGAAGTTTACATTCACATATTGAAAGCGTAGTTTTTTTGTTGTTAGATCCATGTGCATGCTAGAATTTGGGACAGGTACTATTTGTATAAGGTACTGAAGACAATTTTTAACTAAGCAAGGATACACTTTGTAATGGTGGGGCATCTGTGATATAGATGTCCCTTTTGTAATATATGCAATATATTCCAGATGTTTTGAGAGATTACAGAAGAGGAGGCCTGCTTCACTTGCAGATAAGTTTATTATAATTCTCCAGAAACGTGCAGGTTGTGCGTTGGCAAATCGCACTGTACTTTTAATTGTGTGAAATCTAAAGGTTAAAATTCATAGCTTTGAAAAAAAAATTCATGGCTTTGAAGGTTTAAAGTTATTAGAAATTGACAAAAATCAGCACAGTAAAGATATCTGTCCTATCTAAATGCTGTGGTCCCCAACCCTTGGGCCTCACAGCAGGAGGTGAGCAGCAAGTGAGCCTTCAACTGTAAGCTAGCCTTCTTTATTGACAGCCACTTCCCATCCCCCACATCCTGTCTGTGGATAAATTTTCATTCATGAAACTGGTCCCTGGTGCCAAAAAGGTTGGGGACCACTATAAGTGAACCTGTCATTGGGACCCAGTTGTATGTTATGTTAGTAGACAAATAAGACCTTAGTTTGAGTTGTTTGTTCAAATGATTAGGTATCCAGCTGGCAAATAGCTTAATTCCTTGAAACTAGGTATTTTCTGGTATGACTTCAAGTTACTTGAATTTGCAGCAGGGGAATAAAATAATTATGGGAAGAATATCTTAAACCTATTATTAAATCAGTTTTGTTAAGGGGAAAACTCAAGAGTTCTGTGTTGTTTAAGCTGTTAACTATATGCTTAGATGGAATTCGATTTGTGTCTACTACTAAATTTATATACATTTGAGCTGCTTTTTATACGGTACTTAGAAGCCAAGGGTATGTTTTTTAAAGTTATACTTTCTCTTACCTGTCTAGCTGTCAGAACTGTCAGAAGAGCTAACAGAAGATGGAACTAAAAATCCTGGTGGAAAATCTTCCCAGCAAAGAAGCATAGTTTTTAGCTCTAATGTAAGTATATCCAAGTACGGACCACTCAAATTGGATTTAGAATGTATGTGTTTGGGAAGCTGACTTTTATTTGTTCTCTTGCAGAATTCTGTAGCAAAGCCAGTACAGAAATCGGCTAAAGCTGCTGCTGAAGAGACAACTTCAGGATCACCAAAAATAAATCAGAAAAAAAGTCCATATGGACTGTGGAGACCTGTGTAAAAGAAGAAAACTAATGGCTAAGTTTGTGTGAAACTGCACTTTATTTCAAATTTGTGTTTCTAGCATTATCCCATTTCATTGAGACATTTAGTGGTAATTATTGCAATTAAAAACCAACACAAAAAGATGTAAATACTTAATATTCAAATGTTAACATTTTAGGTTTCTCTTGCAGACAAGAGATAGCACAAATGGACCAAAGGTTACATACAGGGTGGGAGTCTTGTGTATATATATTTGTAAATACTGACTATCAGTTGGTTATGTAGAAGTGAAATTTGTAAGACAAACACAGTAATTGAACTATTTTATATATTAATAAATTTCTTGTTTTTATTATTCAGTCTCTATTTTATAAGTACCTAATCAGTCTTTATTTAATGTAAAAATACAAGGAGGAATCTCATGTTTAAAGCCTTGCTAATCCCAAATCCAAGTCCATGACTGACAACATAGGGCTCACAGGCCTTACCTGCGAGTTTGAGAATTGGTAAATCTGAAGTCCCCAGCTCACACCTTCTGAATTTTAACAATATTCCCAGTTGGTTTGTATATACTCTGTAAAATTTGAGAAGTTGGCCTTAAACTTATGGAATACTGGCATAGAGTTATCCTAGAAGAGTTACCCTTTTGGCTTTAGGGCAGGAAGTGGTGAAACGGGATGCCTCATGAAACTAAAACCTGTGAGATGTATTTCTTTGTTATGTTTTTAAAAGTATTCTAAATATTAAACTCTTAGCTTGAATATTGTAATGCTACCATAGCTGGGAAGGATCTTTACTAAGCATGTATAATTTTAAAGTGAATATTATACTTATGAACTGAAAGATCTAGACAACTGGCCTAAACAGACTGATTATAGGCTTTTGTCATTTTTGTCCATTGATACATATTTGTGGACACCTAAAGCCTAGAAAACAGCCACTTTTGGATAACCTACACAAATGTTATTTGACTTGATACAGCAAATACTAAAATGAGTTTAAGATGCCAGGTTTATAATTTGAGTAGGAGCGTGTTTTTCTTCACCACTTTGCTTTGCCAGTATCTTGGACAGCTTCTTAAATTTAGACAATAATGGAATAGATTTCCAGTAGGCAGGGGTAAATACGCTGGAGAATGTGAAAGGGCAGAATGTTAGAGGCAAAACAGATCACTTGAAAGGACAAACACCCAGAGATGACTATAGTGAATGGTGAGCAGGCTGTGCACAAAAGAAGTCCTAAATTCTTAAGTAGAGTGACTTTCCACTTGAAGGTAATTTGTGAACGTCCTGAAAGGAAAATTTTCTCTACTCACAACACTGACATTAAATGTGTGTTTTCCACACCAAGCAATTCTCTCAATTACTCTTGGTACCAAGTGTTGTACAATGTAATTCAATTCTGAAGCTACCTAGAGTTAGTGTGGACCCTGTAGGTTAAGGGTTCAGTGCCATAAGACTGTACCCCTTATGCCAACTGCAAGTAGGGAGAAACCATGTCATTCACACTTCAGTCTGACTTTGCTGCAAATTTGCGGTTCCTGTGTATCTCCTGCAGGTTTGAGAATTTGCCTATAAAGCTTCACAGAACTGGGGGAACCACTATCCTGTTGTTCCATTTCTATCCTTTATAATAAAGAGGTAAATGGAGTTAAATTTGGAAGGGAATTCCTGTCCCCACGGACTTTGGGATATGCCACTTCCCTGGGATATGGATGGGTTCACCAACCCAGAGCTGTGGACTCGGGGCGGGGGGATAGGGGGGCTTATAGGAGGTATGTGGAGGCACGATTGATTTTAAATCATTGACCATTGGTGGTAGGCTCAACCTCAGTTTCCCTCCCCTCCCTGGAGGTGGAGGAGATTGGACTGAAAGTTCCAACCCTTTAATCACTTGGTTTCTCTGACAACCAGCCCCTGTCCCCCCAAGTCACTGCATGAGCATAAACTCACGTATGGTTGAAAGGGGCTTGTGAATAACGGGTTCCTCACTCTTACCATTCAGGAAATGTTTTAGGCGCTCGTGCTAGGAACTGGGGATGAAAAACATACCACATTATCACAGTCTTCAAGTGGGACTTCACTGCTGTCAACTGATGCTGTGCTGTCTGGTATTACTTGTACTTTCTAGTAAGATAGCAGCTTGTAGTTATTTAAAATTCAGTTCCTTAGTCATACTAGCCAATTATAAAGAGTTAAAAAGCCGTATGTGGCTAGCAGCTATCTTGTTTGAAAGTGCAGATATTTCCATCATACAATTTTCTATGCCACCATCTTGAACATCTTGGACAGAGCAATTCTAGAAGGAAAGTTGACCCTTTTGTGAAAACATGAAAAATTTGAATGTTACAATGACTTGGATATGTACATTCCTGGACATAATTTCTGTTACCTGTATAGCCTTTGGTCCACACTGTCTTAAAACTAGCAGTCTGTGGATTGAACAAGTGGAATTTTTGGAAGAAAGAGTAGCTACTCTTGGTAGAAACATGTTTCTTTCACATCCAGATTAAGAGTGAATTACTGGGAGGGTGATAAGTGCTTACTAAAGGAGTAAGAAAGTGTACTTAGTAGGTTCATTTTTATGTACAGAGACCTGAGGATATTGGCAGACCAGCCTGGTTACAACAAAATCCCGAGAAAACATCAAGATTGGTTTTAAAATTTAAAAATGTGGTTAACCTGGTCACTCCTTAGCATCAGTTGATATCCTCCTTAGCGAAGTTTCACAACTCATGGATTTCCTTTTAAGGGAGACTCTTAAAATGACAATACTGGAGTCTTTTTCACCTTCATTTAGCTGGTATTGGAAAGAGCACATACTCTGATTCTGACCTATGTTCTTAAATACTAGCCTTTAATAGCTAAGCAACTAGGCAAGTCATGTAACCTGAGGAAAAAAACTAGACTGTTTGTCCTCTGCTGTCACCACAACAATCAACATAGAATACTGTGACCAAATGTAGGGATTTCTCTTCACCAGCAAACAAGCAATTCTGCAGCAGACACCAGCTGGGTGTCCTCCAATTCAGTTCTGATACTATCTTACCTGGAGACAGCGTCAGAACCCACAGGTTGAGGGCTCAGTTCCCAAGACTGCCCCCGCTTCAGATGCCATTCGCAAGCCGCAGATTGTTTTTACCTGTGTTTCTGACCGACCGGGTATAAACTGGGGGTTTCCATAACTCCCTCCTTGGGTTTAATTAATTTGCTACAGCAGCTCAGAACTTGGAAACACATTTACTGGTTTATTATAAAGGATACAGATGAGATGGATAGGGTAAGACATCGTCTCTCTGGGCATGTCACCCTCCCAGAAACTCTCCATACCCCTTCCTCTTGGGCCTTTCGTGGAGACTCCATTGGGCAGGCATGATTGAAGCAATACTAATAGACTGGGGAAACGAAGCAAGGCCTGTCTTTTCAGTCTTCTTGGCACCTTTTGCAGCATTTCTTCTCCCAGGTATCGGGCAACACCCCTTCTGGAATAGGGGTCTTATGACCTCCAATCAGATAAGATAGGTCAGAAAGGCAGGAAAGGATTCTAGTCCTGTCTTGAGGAGAAAAAGGAGGGTAGGAGAAGGTTAGAGTAAGACTTTGCTTTCTGAGGTGTAAAGCACCCAATATTATAACGAAAGACTGTAACAAGGGCTGTGGGGAGTTAATGAGCCAGGAGCCCCTTTCCTCACGTACAAGAAGTGTTTGGTTAGTTGCAATGGATATGTGCCACTTCTGCAATTTCACTTCTACGGAGATCTTTCGTTTCAGACTTCACAATTAGCTTTGTCCTTCAGCCTATTAACATGCTTTAGACTCCTCCACTTCCTCTTTCATTCCTTAGTCTACTGGCTTTTCTGTTTTGAGAAAGCCAAAGCTTTCGCAGAAAAACACGTAGGAAAGCTTCATCAGAGTCCTCTACTACAAGTCTCCTGGTCATTCCTCTCATCAAACAATGGCAATTTTGTGAGAGTTTCAGTGGGAAATAATTAGACATCCACCTTACAGTCCTGATTTGGCTCCTCCTGACTTGTTTTTGTTTCCTAATCTTAAAAAAAAAATCTTTAAAGGGCACCCATTTTCTTCAGTTAATGTAAATAAAAAAGACTGCATTGACATGGCTAAGTTCCAGGACCTTCATTCTTTAGGGGTGGACTAAACCACTGGTATCATCTCTTGCAAAAGTGTCTTGAACTTGATGGAGCTTATGTTGAGAAACAAAGTTTATCTTTTAATTGCATTTTTCCACAAAATTTAAGTCCCCTCAAAATTGCACAATATTTGTTATATTAAATGTTGACATTACATTTTAGATATACTGAGTTAAATAATTAAAACAAACTCACTTTTTTTTTTTACCTTTTTTAACATGGCTCTCCTATTTCTATTGCACAGCACTGAATCTAGTCTCTTGGTACAATTCCTCACTGTCAGCACCATCTTGCTACATTGTCCACATGTTACATAGTAACAGCATATCACACCTGGGCAGCTGCATTCCAATTACATAATGATGGCCAGCGTGGGGGCAGGTACGCATGCTCAGTTCTCTTCTGTGTTACAAAGTCTAGGAGGGACTTAACATAGACAATGACTAATAGGACTTAATGGGGTGATTATGAAAAAAATGCATAAAGAATATAAACTATAATCTTGTCTGCATCTGATCTGGGTACAACGGTTTTAGTATACCCATCTAGTGGAAAGTTTGTTCAACTTTTTCAGTCAGAATTGTGTAAGCTGAACCAGTTGAGACATCCATGGTGTTGGCTACTGTTTCTGCTGTTAATTGTTGGTTCTTTTCAATTAGGGCATGAACAAGATTAATTTTTTCCTCACAAATTGACATGGATGATCTACCTCTGTGGGCTTGCTTCATCTGCAACGTTATCTTGCCCCTTAAAATGAATTATCCATTTGTAAACGGCTGATTTCTTTAGGACATTGTCTCCACAAACTATGTAAAGCATCAATGATTTCACTATTCATCCACGTTAGCTTTTGCCAAAAATTTGATGTTTGTTCTGCTTTAATTTTACCAGAATTCATGTTGCTCTGATAGGGGCTCTTTTAAAACTGATGTCTTATCCTTCGTAGTGCCTCAAACTGGATCCTGTTCAGACATAAGTTACTATGAGCTTATTTTGGTGCAAAAAAATGTTGAAATCCATGCATAGCTTTTTCATAATGCACATTTACCGCGACCTTTAAGACCCCTCATACATGTTTTTGTACTGTTT